CCGAAAGCGCCGGGGAAAAAAATACATTTATTTAATTCACTTGAAAAGCGTTTTTTCGTTTTATCCTCCAAGGATTTCCTGCACGTTTGACCTCTAAAATTTCAGCGCGAATATTTAATTACAATTCCTCTAGAGAAAGCTTTATAAAAAATTCATGTTAAAAGCCGGAAATGTGACCTTTGCTGATGAAATAATTAATGGAACACACATTTGTGCTGAAAACTTGGTTCATATTTAATCTATGAAACTTGTCTGAAGTTTAAACGAAATCTATAAAAACTTTTCATATATCTTTTTGAGTTATTTTATTCGATAATAATTTTAAATTTTTATTTTATTAATTTTAAATAGTTTAAAAATCAAAAAATTTATGTAAAATTATTTTGCAAATTTAAATAATTAAAATTTTAAAACGTGTTTTGAGGCGTGAAATCCACTTTGGATCGGTTGCTCCTGGCGCCGGATGCATTTTACCGCGCGCTGGTCTTTCGAGTGTTCGCTCGATTATCGAAAGGCTGCACATTTGATAAAAACGGCTGCTGCACTCAACGGCGAGAGGCTTTCATGTGTTTTTTGCCAACTGCATCTCTTCTCTCTCCGTGTGAAGTGTGCTGTCATGTGCTGCAAATCCGGATATTTTCCGTGTGCAACTTCACTTCACGCTCCATTTCCGCCGATTTGACTCGCTTTGAGCGCACAGACAGAATGAACATATGTGTGAGCAAGGAAAATTCAATCTTGCGCGCAAAAGCTCTCCCGCTGCTTTTTAATTTCATATTAATCCGCCGCACGGATGAAATTGCTGCATTCGAGCGCCTGGAATTTGTTATATTGGAAATTTCATGATGCATAATATTGATAAAATTATATGCCAACCTCAATAATATTCTTGGCCAAGATATTAATTGAGTGGTTGCAGAAGTTAATCAAGTCTCATTCGAACAAACTTAGTTTGTGACTTGGCAAGACGTTGCTGCACTTGCTTTAATTAGATCATCCAACAGCCACTAGATAAATAAAGTAGATTCTGAGATCTTATTTCTGACATGATTTTTATAATTAAAGCAAAAGTAGTTTACTTTTGATCCCAAGCTTTATATTCAACATTTAATTGTGTGAAAATAATCAAATTTTGATTTATATGATTTTTTAATTAAAAACAATAAAAATTGATAAAAAAAACAGTGAAATTTTTGTCATTTTTGTCATAAGAGTGTCGTAACTTTTCTTAATTTTGTACTCACAAACCCTCATTAAAACTGTTGATGTGAAAGTCTCGGGAAATTTACCTGCGAACAGAGAAAAAATTGATTAAATAAACGATCCACTCAAATTCTTCTTCAGCTTATAAAATACATTTATTAAGTTTTTTCCATCAGCCTGAATGGAATTCATTCAGCAGTTTTGCACGGAAAGAAATCTAATATGCTCTTTGAGCCAACTCAGAGCTGCTTCAACGGATTTATTTTTTCTTCTCATTTTCGTCTTTGAACGCGAGAAATCAAAAGCTGCATACATAAGGTGAGCGTAAAAATCTCGACATCTCGTTACGTGAGCGAGCTGGCGGGGTGTTGTGCATTCAATATTTTCATACCAGCTTTGATGGTTAACCTAGTTTGAAAAAATCCCTTTCACAGCAGCAAACACAGGATGCATTTCCTTGGAGCTGCATTTTCTTCCGATGGAGAAAGAAGGATTTTCCCCCGAAATGGCGGAAAGTAATTAGAGAGGGTGTACTTTTTGTGGCACCCCACTCGAGCGAGTCTCTCCATTAATCGCAGTTGATCCTTTGACAAAACATCTGAGAGAGACCAAATAAGCAGTCGTCGCAGAGGTTGCGAGTTTTTTGCTTCGCTGGTCAAAGTCTCTCTCTTTTGAGCGCGGCAACAGTTTTTGCAGTCCGTGTCGGCGACGGCGGCAATATCCTGTTTATTCCTCACACAGACTTCTCATTTCCAACTCATTTTGCACGCAAACTATGCCCACAAGTTATTTCGTCCCACGCAAAAAGATGGAGCAGGTCAGCCTCCCTTTTGTTGCGCTAAACGACAAAGCGCTTTTCAAATTGAATTCCATGGACAGCTGAGCAGACGGACCGAATGCCTTGATAATTGATCTCTGCAGTGCAAATTAATTGTTGATTGCGAAATTCTCTTCCAATGAGTTGCTTAATCAATATAAATTTGCAATAAGCTGAATAATTATTGGTCATACCAATAAGATACAGGAATTTAATTTCATTTAATTGAAAAATATCAATTTTTAATAGAAAAAAAAAATTAACCAGGAGCTTATGAAATTCACATACTGTCAAAATTAATCAAGGTGATTTTTTTAGCAAAAAGCCTCCCCTTAAATTGAACTCGTATGTATTTTCAACGACAAAGTTTGGTTTCTTGGAAACTTCCTCTTTTTTTTAATTTTTGATTGCTTAACTTTTCAGGATCAAATTTTGAGACTTTATTTTATATCAATTGATGCGCTTTTGAGGAATAAAATTTCCTGAAGGCATATTTTTCTATAAAAGCAGAAGTTATTGCGTGTGTGCAAAAAGCGCTGCTGCCCGAGCCGTTGTGATGCATCAAAGGGCCATTGCAATATGCCACGGACGTGATCATTGTCCAATTTCTCGGGGCAGCTGTACTCCCGGCCGCCTTTGTGTCTTTTCCTTTGGACGGAGCGAGTGACCCTTGTAAGCGGGAAATAGGGCGTGCGCCGTGTAGATAGTCAATTTGGGGCCGAATTTGATCTGCGTACGTACACTGACTGATCTGCCTTCTTTTCCACCCTTGCCTTCTTCTTCCCTCCTTGCTTTTTTCGTTCTCGTCGACGAGAGGGTAGATGAGAAAGGAAAGTAGCATCGCTTGCGGCTTTTCGCCCAACTTAAAAGAGTGCTGAGTGAAACGTGCGTGGGCAACTGCTGCAAATTAGATTTTCTTTCCTTTCGGCCACACAGGCAGGCCAAGAGGACAGACGGATTCTGGCGGCGAGTGACGGCCGCCTTTGATGTGTGCTAGTCACTTTTTCGCACACAACACCGACTAATACACCAGCACAGGGGCAGAATTCATTCTTTGCTTCACGTCAAAAGAATGACTTTATTATTATTTTTCATTTATTTATATTTTATTAAATTAGTTTTCAACAAATAATACTCTTTTATTTTAAATTATTTATTTTGCAACAAAACTTTCAACTTTCAATTTGTTTTTCACTGAAAATTATTGTTATGCATCTTAAAAAGAATGTGAGATTCGATCCTGCAAACTTATTTTAATTATAGGTAATTTAAGAGAGAAAACGGCCTAATTACTTTTGGGAATTTTTCTTGAAATTGAATTTGCTCGTAAATTTCAGCCCATGAGACAAACAATTGAAATTATTGGGAGAGCTGAATTTTTGAAATTTAACATTATTATTATTATTATTATAATTATATATTATAAATATTATTATTATTTCTTACGGGAAAATTTTCATACAAAAATAGATAAAAATCAAACTAAATGACGTTCATAACACCCCAATAAAGATTGAAAAATAAAATCAAAAAGGTCACTAGACATCAAAAAATTGTATTGATCTTATTGGAAAAGATTCAGAGGTTTTAATTTGAGTGTAGATTTTATGAGCTCCTTGTTAAGGAAGGCAGGTTTGGGTAAAATTTAATCAACCGTCAAAAGAAATTTTACAAATTGTGGACATCAGTGGACCTTGTGGAGCAGCAAAGAGTATATTTGGTGAGCTTGGAATAACGCTCGAGTCGTAATAACCGGATTTCGCTGCGGATTATCCCTCAAAGTATTTGCACAGAAGCCATTCTCGTGTGTGTTTTCCACATTCTTACTCCTCATTTAAACCAATTTCCTCTCTCTCTCTCGTGTGTGTGGAGCTGCTGGGTGTTTATTACACAACGCAAATGAAACTCGCGCCGGATCCAATTTGGGACGAGATAAACGCATTATTTTCGGAAGCGCATTTGATGAAGTTTGTGCATATGCGTGAGACGGCAGGTTAATTGCGTTAAATTATCCCCTGCTCTAGGAAGGTCGCAAATCTAGTTAATGCAAGACCGAATTTACTAGAGCTATATTGCATATCAGCAAACGTGACGCTGAGAGTAGCACAAGCTGATAGGACGAACGTGAGATAAAAATTATGCCGCCTTGAAGGAAAAGTTTAATTTAATGCAGCGAGCGATAAGATTGATCAAATGCATTCGTCGTATTGCACTTAAAACTGGGCCACTGGAAACACGATTGTTGATATACCCTTTTTCAACCAGATTTGCTGATTGCCTGGACGTAATTGTCAAGTGGCATCACCCGCGTTTATATTATGCGAATTTTATATATCATGATGTACCCAAGTAAGATGCGTTTAATTATTAAAAGTTTTATTAAAGATAAAATCAATGAGGTTACCATTTGATACTTGCAATTTTTATACATTCTAGATTATTGAAAGGACTAAATTTTAATCTTTCATTATGACATGTGTATTGCATAAGTAAAAGGATAAAGTAGACATATCTAGAAATTTTACTCATTTTCACAACAATGAAAATCAAAATCTGAAAGATTTGAGGAGCACGTCAATTAATTTATAAAATCGTTGTGAAGCAATTTTATAACAGCAAAATTGTGTAAGAACAAGAGAGCTCAAAGTTTATAAAGATCTAAGAAAAAAGGGTTTGGCAATTGATAAAAAGAACCCGGAACACTTTCTAGGTCCGAACTTTCCTGGTTAGATAATCCAATCAAAGTCGAAAGTTCAAACATTTGCTCTAGGCAATATTTTTGACAAGAGGGTCTACAAGAGCGGTATAATCTTTCACATAACAGTGCAATGTGCACCGTTGATGATTAATCAAATCTCACTCGGCCACTTGAAGTATTAATTTTAGATAATCTCGGCCGAAATCTTGCAAGTCCAAAGTTTGTCGCTGTGCAACTCCACTTTCGGTTCAAGAGGGCGAACGCTTTGTATAAATAGTGGGCGAGCGGCATCCAGAATCACTTTCCTTCAAACCAAGGTAAGTGGAGCATTTGAAGTTTATTGCAAGTCTGACAATTGAATATTTAGATGAAGTTCGTAATTGTTTTCGTCGCCTTCCTGGGACTGGCCGCGGCCGCCCCTCAGCGTAAGTCTCAAACAAAATAATCTTCCACTCATTTGCAAATTGGTTATTGACACGAACAGCCTTTGACCTGATCGCGGACATCCGCCGCTTCCTGGCCCTGATCCCCCAGGCCGAGACCGAGGCCCTCTTCAACAGCACCTACGACACCGACGCTGCTTTCGCCGGCTCAGTCAACTTCATCAGGTCGCCTAGGTTCACCGAGCTCGTCCTGGAGGTTGACGCCGTCCCTGAGTTCCAGGCTGTCAGTCTTATGCACAGAATTTTAGTGCAAATTTTCATGCAATTTCCATCCGCAGTACTTTGACTTCCTCGAGTCCAACAACATCCCCGCCTACTACTGGTTGAACGCCATCCGCACGTGGCTCGGAGTTCCTGAGTTCGTTCCCGCCACCTCCACCGGCTTCGTCCGCAGGCCCGTCTCCAAGCTGCCCCGCAGCATCTTGCCCTTCGTCGAGAGCTGGCTCGGCCTCCTGACCCACGCCGAATTTGTCGCCGTCCACGAGGACCTGATCGCCACAAGCCCCGACTACAACGTAAAATGCAAATCTGACAAGCGCAATTGAGCTTGAAACCCTGTTTTTTTTTTTTTGCAGAACTTGTGGGCCGTCTACCAGAGCCCTGAGTACGCCGACGTCCGTGCCGCCCTGACCTCAAACAGCGTCTACATCGCGGCCACCGACGAGCTCGACGCCAACGGTGTCTTCCTCACCGAGGCTCTTGACCTCATCAAGGCCTGGCTGAGGCAGTAAATTAAAAAAAAAGAAGACAGAGATTGAAATAAATTTGTATTTTTCATAATAATCTTTATTATTTCATTTCCACTCATCATTATTCAATTTTAAGTTTTAATAAGTTTAATGCTTGTTGTTTTGTTCATAGAAATCAAATTTTTTTTGCCTAGCTCATTATATAATTCCTTAAGTGTGTCAATTTTTTAAATTTCATTTGCAAATGGCGTGATTAATCTACACAAAAAGCATTAAATGCGCTCTCTCGTGTCCTCCTCTATTTATCGCAAACAAATATCGGCGGCGCGTGCAAGTGAAATATTTGCCGCTGTCAAATTTAAATAATGAATGGCACGCCGTGCATTTATTGGAAAACACAAACGGAGCGTGCTCTGGTTTACTCTGGGCTGCAGCAGAGCAAATAGATTCCGTGCGTGTAATTCCATTTGTGACTGCTCATGTTGACACAAACACTGCCAATAGTTATTTATGCATAATTCGCATCACCAATCGCGCCTCCAAACATCATCGATCTCTGCCTAGGTTTTGCCAATCAAATGTAAAAAAGAAATTACACAACACTTGAAAATTTGATTGATTTAGTATCTCTGCACGAACATACAAAAATAATAAAAAACCTTTGTGATGATATCGCGCTTTTGGTAAACAAAGTTGTTAAAAATAAAAAAAAAATAAAAAAAGTGCCAGTGACAGGCGGGAGGGCGAGTGAGGACACGTTATCAAAATCCTGCTTATCTCGCATTTCCACGCATCACGGCGCGATAATTGAGCACTCTTCACCGCTGATCCGAATTATTTTACATTCGCAGATGAGTTTTCAGTGCCCGGCTGAATAAAACATGTCACTTTCAGCCGCTTATTCCATCGTGCTGCTCGGATTAAGCTTGCAGGCAGGTGAGCTTCCAATTTTTCATGCTGCGGCTTTTATAAATCATTAAAATGGAGTTTTTTTATTGTGTTGGCAGGAAGTGGAGCGACGTCGACGCTGACCAAAGACTTTCATAAATTCCTGGACGTGGTCACTTTTGAGGATTTCGTCTCGCCTTTCCTGCACACGTACCAGGAAAACGAGCAGTTTGCCAGAAGCGCCGACTTCCTCGTTTCCCAGCGGTTTAATGATCTGCTTGACGAGCTCATTGCCTCTGTTTATTTCGAGGAGGTGCCGTTTTCATTACATTTCAACAGTTTAATGAAATAATTGAGATAAAGGAATCTGTAATAATAAGATTTAAAGAACAACAATTGCCAATTTTTATATTCCTGATTGAAAAATAGGATCAAATTTTTTAAGCCAACATTAAAATCTCAATAAAAAGTTGCCGTTCGTAAATTTCAAACTGGGATTCTTACGTTTTGCCGCCAAATGAATTTGAATTTTGAGGATATTAGTCCTGATCGATAAACTACATAAATTAGGTTAAAAACATTAAAAGAAGAACTTTTAAATTTAAAAAAATTGCTGAAGTTCAAAATTCTTTAGGCTCGAAAACGCGATATCCAGTTTAAATGTTTGCTAGTGCAAAATTCTCAATTAGAATTTCGATGTTGGTCATTTCAATTTGGTCCTCTTTTACATTCAAGAATTACAAATTCATTGTAGTCCATCTTTGAAACAAATTTTAAATCAAACGGTCTAGAATATTCAACGTTTTTAAGCATGCTGATTTTTTTTTTACATATTTTATTGCTCGTTTTTTTCAGTACCGAAATTTACTGATGGAGCACGGCGTGCCGGCGCAGCTGTGGCTGGAAAAAGCGCGCGCCATGACCCACAAGCCGCCCTTTCCGGTGCCGCATCCTGCCGAGCCAGAAAAAACGGCGGCGCTTGATAAGGATTTTATGCCGTTCATCTACAACATGATGCCGTATTTCATCCTGACTGACATAAGGGACGTGTACTTCTACGTGAGCAGGACCAGCGTCCCTTTCATGGTGCGACGACAAATTCCAAGAGAGAGAGAGAAAGTGCTGATAGAACAGCTTGAGTGATTTTTTTTGCAGGATCTGCTCCAATTCCTCGCCTCGGACGAATACAAAAACACTCTCAGCTTTCTGGTCGAGTGTCCGCAGTACCAGGCACTCATCGACACCCTCCAGGACAACGGAATCGACGTGCTCAAAATTTATAATTACTTGAAAAGGGAATTCGAGCTGGCGGACGATTATTGAAAGTAATTGTATATTCATCAAATCGATCTCAAAAAACTTTTAGTTCAAGGAAATAAATAGTCTTTTTTATTATGTTTGCAGAGAATATTGAATTTCTTACATTAATGTCGTCCCACGTGACCTGATGAAAAATTGATTTGTCTGCTCTCGTATTTATAGTGATAATAAAACCTGCTTTCATAGGTGAAGAATAAAGCTGCTTCCGTTTATTGCGCAGGAGATCGAACAAGTTTGCAACTCGCGAGTTCATAGTAGTTTCAGTTTGAAAAAGCTTTTTATATTTTTTTTCTGACGAGAAATGAGAAAAGCTCGCTTGATGGAAACGCATCTCCAATTTCAGATAATGCTCCAATTCCATTTGCCCTTTTTCCGTGATAAGAAATCAATCTCCCGTTTCAGCATAAAAGCTAAATGATTAATTTTCCTGAATAATTTACAATGTGAGAGAAACATATTAAATCGTTTGTTTTTGCTTAAGAGAGACATTTTTGCTTCTCTTTTGATCATAAATTGATTCTGTCTCGTCAATTAGACTTTATCTGATCAATGCTTGGCCTCTGATGCAACGAGACCATCGTTTGCGTTAATCAAACCAATATAAAAATTTAGCTAAAAAGAGCAAAACCTTCTTTTTATTGACTACGTTCTGATCCACTTAGCCAATCAGACTGGATCAAAAGCAGCGGATTTTTTTACCAGACCTTCAGCCTTTTCAAATATACCTGAGTAATCCCTCGAGCACGCCGAGAAACACGCAATGTTTGCTTTAATTTTAATTTTTTATTTAAAATATTTTTTCTTATCCGGAGCACTTTTTCGGCGGCGTGAAATATTTATATGTGGAGGGGAGAATTTTGGCGCAAGAAAAGGAGGAAAATGATGATGGGAACAAAAGCAGCAGGCGTTGCAGATATTCACATTTTCTCCTCGAATTTTTTCCCCCGTTTGACACTCGCAGGCAATTTTTAGCCGGCGGCGCTCGGGGAGTCTTTCCCGAAGATTATCAACAAGAAAAAATTCGCCTGTTTCTTCTTATTTTTTTCCTCTCACCCGAAATTTACGAATTGTTGGGAAAAATGAACACTAGCAGAATTCCCATCAGATTAAACCTTAACTTTTTATCTGTCAAATAAACGTTGAGTCGGAAAACAGAAAAGAGGAGAGAGAAAAAAAATAAGGGCGCATAAAAGTTGGCAGCCTCAGGGCGACAGGCTGAAACACATTTTGCATGTATGAAGACCACGGGGGTTGATAATATTCAAAACTTGAACACCTGCTTTAAACAAGAGTGAATATACATGGAAACTTTTCAGGCAAATCTTGCAGCTTTCCACAAGTGGTGGAACCAGAAAGAAGGAAAGTTTTGCCCCGAGCAATTTCCCTTCTTTTTTTCTCTGGCGTGATTAGCGACTTTATTGCCAGACACGTGCCTGAATAATAATTACAGGCCGTCGATACCGTAATTATCGAGTGCTCTGCGGATTTGAAATTTATATATTCCAACACGTTAAGAGGGCTTTTAATGAGAGAGGCCGGAAATGTCGGGCGTGCCGAATTTTATTACGCGGAAAATCGCTTCATTTTATGGAAATTTCGCTCCCCCGCCCATAAGAAAATATAATAAATTGCATTAGGAAAAGCGCCGGTGCAGGCGCAGGGGACCGCAGCAAAAACCCTCCCTCCCTCGCGCTGAATTTGTCTCAAATTGTGTGGCGTGTTTTTGTCGCGTTTAAATTTGACGACATCTCCTTACAATTTCCGTAATTGCTTTCAAAGAAATTCCATGAAGCATAAAATTGTGGTAAAAGAAGTTTTCAATGAAAGAAAATCTTATAAAAAGATAAATGACAAAATGGAAAAGTGCAAAAAATTGGGTTGGGAAGGTTAATTTTAAAATTAATGTTATCCATTAGTTTTGTAGTTTTTTTCCGATAATTTAAGAGGATGGAACTACCTCAGCGCAACAAAATCCTCAGCAAAAAAAAATTAAGTTAAAATCACAGGGTTCTTTTGATTGTCAATTGAGTGTTAAAAATCCATGTTCTTTTTTTACGTTTTCATAGATTTCGAGAAAGTCGAGCTAATTTTTGAGCACTTTTGAGTAAATTTTTTTGCATTTTGCCCATATTTTTTGATAATTTTGAAAACCAGTTCTACGTGTTTCCCTTTCAACAATGATCGTTGCAGTTGCTTCTTTAAATTGACTATTTTCATTCGATAATTGGAAAAATCTCTAAAGATAATTTGAAATTTTTGTGGAAAAGGTGGTGAACGGAAATTCACGGCCCGCTGGGCTCGAATATCAATTTTAATGGCGAATGATGTGTGGGAGCGTTTACGTGGCTCATCAATTTTTAATCAAAGGCCGGCCCAGAGAGCTAAAGGTGTTAGGCAAAGTGCTCGTCCACATGATGAACGGCACTATCTGCGCGCTGCACTCGGCCAATTTCACGCTCCACTGTGTCCAGCTCTGCCGCGATATTGTTATTGCTGTTTGTGTGTGTGTCGCAATATTAAGCAGCTTGAAAAGTGTGTCAACTGCTTTTATTGCTGAAAAAGAATAACTTTTCAATTTATTTCCGCTGATAATTAGCTCTGCAGTTTTAATTGGGCAAAAATTGCTTTAGTGGAAATTAAAACAATTCATTTGTGTGACATTTATTACTTTAATTAACTCCAGCGGGAGCTAAAATGAAACATTTCTTCATCGTCCAACCGAGCAATACAATTTTCTTTATTTAAAAATAGATGAAGTTTTCTGCATCGTATTTTCTTTATTAATATTTATAATTTATATGAACTGCGCGTGGGCTGCACTTCTGCTTCTCCCGAGTGATTAATTGTAATTTGCCATTCACAAGCCGTGTGGGAGTTTGCAAACATGCTCTATTTACAAGTACTGCGCGTCTCCACTTTCCTAGGCAGCAACGTAGGCGGATAAGTAGTTATTTGATCCCAGAAAGCTAATTCAGAGATTGCAGAGCTCAAGTGGGTTAATTTGATGCTTAATGGAGTTCCGGCCAATTTTGCGTGGTTGCTGATTCAATTCCGCCGCTTTTAATGTGGCTTTTCCAGGAATTAGTCACTTTTTTTAATCTCAATTTTACCTGATTTTTATAATGACTGTTTAAAATTGAATTTTTGCCATCTTCACTTGTTCAAGCATTTTCTTGAATCACTCTAAGCCCCTTTTCATTTCTAGCATGAAATATAATATGTTTTAAAATTACTTGTAATTATATTAAACAAATTAAATGTAAATTAATTAACTGATCAACAGATAAAAAATACAGAAAATACAGAGGCTAAAAGTTATTTTTGAGCCAAATATATTGATTTTTTGCTAAACTTTGAGGCCGAATTCAAATTTCAATCCAAATTGGTCCAGCATATCTTTGGAAAGCTCTCGCCGAGACCTACAAAAATTCTGATATTTTTCAAGATAAAGTACGAAATGACTTTGGAGATGAACCAAGAATTTGAAAGCCGAGCCTCCCTTTGGTCGTTGTTTGCAAGGGTGCAGTTTTCGGTGGGGCTTTTAGTGTGTTTTTGGTTCGATCGGCGCCCGAAGGCAAACACATTCGACGAAACGATATTAAGGCTCTACTATCGCTGCGTGTGATGTTCGCAGCCAGAAAAGTGTAATTTATGGCGCCATCATCAGCATAAAGCGAGAGCCGGCCCGGCAAATATTATCATTCCAACATCGCGTCGTAAAAGCAGAAGAAATTCCGCTAGACACGTCATTTGGGCTGGCAAAGAAAAAGCCTCAAGTGAAATGCAAGAAGAAGAAAAACTCAACCGTCCACGTCTGATATGCAAATTCCAAGCTGGCGCGCGCCGCCTTATCAAGCCTAGAGAAAGCCGGCCGGCCGGCCGCGCTTAAAAATCGATTCCGCAGTTTTATCAGCCGCGCGACCAATTTATTTCACATTCACACCAGTGATTACCCTTCGCATTAAGCGCCGACGTGACGAGTGCGGGGAAAAAAAGAAAAAATTAAAGCCCACAGAAGTATTAAGAGAAATATATATTTTTTTTTAAATCATGCTTTTTAACCAAAGATTAAGAAAATGCAAAAACGATTTTTACATTATTGGATACAAGGGAAAAACCGTCACAAGTTTAATTCATGTGAAAATCTGGAATTATAAATTAAAATTTCAGTTAAAATAATTTTTTAAATTTTTAACGCTGAAAATTGTAATTTTTTGTTTCTCTCTTTTTTTTAATCGAACAAATGTGCGTGGGTTTGGCTTGAATAATTCTGAGAAAGGGTGCTTTGACATAATATTCGCATTTGAGGAAAGTCCCGGGTTGAAATGAAGCGATCGCGCGCACTCGAAAGCCGCAGAGCAGAAATAAACCGACGCCTCCGCCGCGCGTTTCAAGCACAAGAAGTCAAGATGGACTCGCGTTTTGGATGACCACTTGTGCCCACAGCCCGTTCAAGCCCTCGAAAAGCGTGTGGTTGGCGCCGCCGTTCGTCACCTAGCCGGCCGGCGCTTCATCAAAGGAGTAATTGTCGTAATGCACCGCGCACGTGAAACCCCCGCAAGTGCCGCCGCCGCCGCCTTTCTTTTTTCATCTGCCCAAAGTGCTCAAAAGCAAACTCTGAGGAGAGGGATGAAAATTCACGCCTTTTGCAGACGGTGGCTTTGATTTTTGTTAATTGTTCTTTGATGTGTAAAGTACAAAAGGAATCCGATGGCAGTTTTTACATGAAAGGTTGCGTCTGAATTTATTAAAAAATCTCAATTACTTTTTCAAGCTTCCCCCAAGAATGTTCTCAAAAAGGAATTTCAGGAAGAACAGTGATTTTTTTTACAAAATCCATTGCAATCCAATTCAAAATGAAAAAGACACAGATGATTAAAATAAAGACTTCCAATAAAATTGTTAAAAGAATTGTGCTTTTGATTTGTTTTCTACCAAATATTTTTAAAAATCAATTACATTTTTCCTTCAAAATTATTCCTTTCTGGTTGTTTTTGAAATATTT